ATTAAATATGGCTCAAATATCTATATGAGGCGTCATGTCATCATCCATGTGGTGCCATGTAATTAATCTCATTATGACATGTAGTGACACATGTCGTCAACATGTTGTCCCCATGATTAATAATATTGTAGATATTATTGAAACTTGACTTCTGTCCTACCATTTTCCACAGCCAATAGCCATCAGCAGCTTACATGTGTAGTTTGGTGATATTTGTCTATTGCGTATAAATCTGCCTGGAGGTTTAAATCTGTAACATTGGTGGCTAAATTTGGCCATGATAGTGTCAAGTTATGACTCACGAATGCCGTGAAGGGTGCTGTGTGGTTGTTGGAGGTTCTATCATGGTTCTCGAAGTTTGGAGTAGTTAATGGGTGATAGTTGACTTGTGGTGGTTCTTTCATGTGATGATGGTGACCTGGTGGGTGGTGGGTTTATAGCTAGTGCGGGAAGAGGTTTGTTGTCGAGAGTTGCAGTGCTAAGTTGGGAATTGGGAAGGGAAAGTGGTGGTGCAGTCAATAATGTGATAAACTGATAATGGGAAAGGTGGTTGGGGAATTGATGAAGGTGTAGTCAGGTATGGCTTAAGTGGACTTTTGGAGAAGAGAAAATGTTAGGGATGCCCAAAAACCAAAAGAGGGGGGAAAAGGAATTAAAATATATGCAATCAAACACCAGCTAAGAGATATGAGGGTTTTTGTTACCTTACCCTTTCCCGAATCTTGCATGACAAACAAACTCTAATTTGCTTGTAGAAGTCACTTTATGATATTATATGTGTGATCATCATTGTAACGTGCTCAAATATTTTGGATATAGCCATCTGTGTTGCATGGAATTGGCTAGTTACTCTTATTACCATGTTTCCAAAATAATCTTGACATATCTAGCGGTGAGAAGTTTGGGCAATAAACATTTTGTGGGGAGGCCCAACTTTTTCCAAATCATAAAGAAAGAAGAAAATCATAAGAATTAAAAATACACATTGTCTTTGGATATGTAGAAGGCGTTAGGCGCTGCTAGAGTATCCTAACCTACTTTTGTAGAACCAATGTGATCAAAGGGAGCGAAGTTTGGAAGGAAAGCATATCAATTATTTCCTGATTAGTGATATAACGGTGCCTCATTCACAAAATATATTACCCTTTTCCATCATGATATGTATAAAGCATATCACAACTTACCAAATGCTCTTCTTTTTATGCACTCTAAACCTATGTATATATTCTCATCTATATCTAGCATATTTGCCACATAAATGTTTTCTTTTGGGTATTTGCTTTATAACTTACATCCAATCTCTAGGTGCATATCTATCACAATCTACCTCTAGGAGTCTTAATTGAGAATTGATGCTTGTTTTTGGTGATAATATGATTGTTATCTACTCTTTTGCAGCTGGTTTTTGAAGAGCAGCTTGAGAGGATAAAGGAAAAGGAAGAGAAAGAAGCTAAGAAGCGCCAGCGTCTTCTAGATGACTTCACTGATTTATTGCGGTCTCTTAAGGTACCTCTGAATTCATATAACTTGTGATTGGCTGCTTGATATGACCTTGTACTCATTGGTGTGTTGTCATCTTAGGAAGTAACTGTATCTTCTACTTGGGAAGATTCTAGACAACTCTTTGAAGAAAGTGAAGAGTACAGGTATACCTAAGTCACTGATGCTGGTAGGCTTTGTTTCATTTGAGGTTCTTAACATTATTTTTAACTTGCTTTTAAACTATGATATTATCTAGAGAAATTGGGAATGAAACATTGGTGAAGGAGACCTTTGAGGACTATATTGCTTACCTGCAAGAGAAGGCAAGAGAGAAAGAACGAAAGCGTGAGGAAGAAAAGGTATAATATCAACTAAATTGGGATAACTCAGTCTATTTGTGTGTGTGCAATCTGTGAACAAATATTAAATATTGGTGAAATTTCATTCCATTACATAACCTGCTATATATTCAATGAGAACTCACTGGCCAAGCCACCTATCTTAGTGAACTATTTGCTTGTTATAAGTACCCAATTTACATCTCCTTAATCACTACTATATAGGGAAAGGTATTGGGACTGGGAAGCACCTTATCTTGCTGCTGTTAGCGATTTTTAAAAATATGTGTAGATAATGGGTTGGTTTAGGTTAATATTGGTCTTGACTGTTGGTTCCAAGAGTCGATGATTTTTCAGCAGAGCTTGGCATTATGATGTATAGCCAATTAGCCATGCCATTGATTTCTTACATCAACCTTTAAGGACTTGAGCTTACACCTTAGCTGTTTGTAGCTGTATATCACCTTATATGAGGTTCTGAGCAATGAATAACCTATTATATCACCTTGAAAGAGGAAGATAATTCGACTTCGGATCCACATTGTAATACAAATCTGACAAGATACCTCATTGGTTTTTTCAGTGTATTAAAATTGGATGTACAAGACTACAAGGTGCTGCTTTTTTTTTTGTTATTATATTTAATAAAGATCTAGATTATTTTAAGCCAATATAGTGAGGGCCTGAAATTGGGTACACCATTTTTTTTTTCTGAGTAAAGTCAGGGGGCGTTTGGTTCATCAAAGGGAAAGGCATCGATTTTAAAGAAAGGGAAAGGAGAATGGAAAGTACACTCCCTTTGATATGTAGTGTTGTTTGGTTACTCAAAATATAGTCCCTAGGCAATCGAAAAACTTATTTTATTTACTATGTATTTTTTTTAATCATCTTTTAAAAATAATTATAGTTTTTATAAGCATGTTGTAGTTTCATGTCTAATTTTATCATGGTGCTGAATGGATACAGGTGAAAAAGGAGAAAGAAAGAGAGGAAAAGGAGAAAAGGAAGGAGAAGGAGAAGGAGAAGAAGGATAAAGATAAAGATCGTGACAGAGAAAAGCGAAAAGAGCGCTCTAAGAAAGAGGAGTCAGATGATGAAGCTGTGGATGCAACTGATAGCTATAGCAATAAGGATGAGAATAGGAAAGAGAAGGATAAAGACAGAGAGAGGAAGCATAGAAAACGGCACCATGATACTACTGATGATGTAAGTTCTGACAGAGAAGACGACAGGGATAGACGTCACCGAAAGCGGCACCATGACACCACTGATGATGTCAGTTCTGACAGAGATGATAAAGAGGAGCACAAAAAATCCCGCCGACATGGCAGTGATCGAAAAAAATCTCGAAAGGTATGGTAGTATAAACATTAGAATCAATCCAATAAAATAAAAATTTTCTGAAAATGGTGGTTATTGATTTAATGCTTCTCTGTAATTTCTTTACAGCATGAACACTCACCTGATTCAGATGGTGAAAGTAGACAGAAAAAGCACAAGAGGGATCACCAGGAAGGTTCTCGGAAAAATGGTGCCCATGATGATCTCGAAGATGGTGAACTTGGTGAAGATGGGGAAATCTCGTAGCCTTCATAATCTATGGCTTCATCCCGCACTTTTGTGTTGGTAGAAAAGTTTAGATCTTTTCTCGTATTTGTTCTATGATTACCTTGTTCAACAATAATTTGTTTATTTTGTACTTCTGAGCCACACTATTTTGTGTTGCTGTATAAGTTGCATCGCTTTTCTTGAGACTGCTTACTATGCATATGTTTAGACTTTAGATTATAAAATGAAAGGGTAGTATGTAATTCAGTATTCAATTTTTGACAAAAGCTTCATAAACATTGATTTTTTTGAAAGTCAAAGATAGAAGGAAAATACAAGAATAAAGAAGAAACGGATTCACTTTTGCCACAGCCTCCCTTGCACACACCAATGTTGCACATACAATCAATATTGCGCCATATAGAGCTGACAAAAGTTGAGCGACATAAATCGGACACTATTTTATCATTATTGCGTCATGTAGAGCTGAAAAAATTGACGCGACATGAATCACACTGTTTTATTGTTATATCTCTCTCCTACAAACCCTATTTAGGCAATGCTTTATTCAACAGGATAATTTCAGTTCAGTAAAAGTATTTTTTAATTCAGTAAATATAATTTTAATTACTACCTCCGTTAAATATTAGTTGTAACTTTGGAATATTTTATATCTTATAAATAATACCCCAAAATTGCAACTAATATTTAAGGAGGCAGTAGTAAAAATTACTCCGTAATAACTTTAAAGAACAGATATAATTGGAAATCAGTATAAATAAGTTTTAATAAGTAAAATTAATTTCAGTTTTGTACAATTAATTTAGTTCAATAAAAATCTGGTGAAAAAAAAAGGTGTTACACTACTTTTTTTGATTTTTAATTTTATTATTTCTCTCTCCTAATAATTATTATATTTTATATTATAATAAAAAAAAATCCATTCATAGTCCTTACCTTCAAATTTTATGCAATACCTAGTAGGCTAGTATTACGATTATTATGAAATGGAGGAGTAGAAATATGGTTACAATTCTAGCATTTGTATGAAAATCATGTGTTACTAAACACGACCAAAAATTATTTTGGTATTCACATTCAGATATTATTCTCTCAATTATTCTGTAGTAAACCACGTACATCCCTCCAAAACACAAAATATTATCACAAATCGCGCTAGGGAAAAAAAAACCTCTAGATGCGTAAATAACATATGAAGTATATTGAAGAAAAAGAAAAACCAATAAAAAATAATATTCAACTTAGGCCCTGTTCAGTTCACCTTAAAAAAATAATATTCAGTAAAAATAATTTTAGTTCAGTAAAAATAATTTCAGTTCAGCAAAATAAGTTCAGTTCAGTAAAAATAATTTCAGTTCAGTAAAAATCAGTAACTTTAAAAAAGAAATATAACAGAAAATCAGTAAAAATAATTTTAGTTCAGCAAACATAATTTCAATTTAGTAAAATTAATTTCAGTTGAGTAAAATTAATTTAATTTCAATAAAAATAATTTCAGTTCAACAAAAGAAAAAAAAAAAATAAACTAAACGGGGCATTATTCAAAAGTTGCACATAGTAATATAGTATACAACGATATAAAAAAAAAACACTTTCTTTTGTTTTAAGAAAAAAAAACGTTATATAACTATGTTACTACGAGTAATTTTCGTTTTCTGAGCGTGTGAATTCCAAGCAACGCTGAAATGGGGGAAGAAGTAGAACAACTGAAACAAACGCCAGATTCTGGAGCTCCTGCTTCATTAACACCTGCTCAATTTCTTTCATGGAAACGCCAGAAGGTTATACTCGTTTTCGATTTCTTAAATTGCTCACTTTTTCTTAATGTTGCTTTCAAACCCTAATTTTTCTCTTGTTGCTGCATAATGTTGTTGATAAATTTCATAATCTCGTTCTTTAATTCGTATTTTGTTGAGAATAATTCCTTGTTTTTTGTGATAATTTAACTTGGTGTTGCTGTTGTTAGTAGAATTTATGCTAGAAAATTGAATTTTATAAGAGCGATTTGTAATTGGGTTAAAATTGAGTTATAAAAAATGCATTAAATTGCTTGTTGCCTCAATCAAACTATTCCAGCATGCTACTTTCTAGAATCGATAAGATTATTATGCAATTGATGATTATCTGGGTTTGTGAATGTGAAGTTTATAGATTATTAGTTGTTAAGGGTTATTATTCTAGATATAAAGAATAGTTGAAAGCCGGATCACTAGGAAAGTAGGAGGGAATTTTCAGCTGAATTTATATCATGATGAGACCTTGGAACTTGCTACTAGGCTAGATCATCGTTGTTGAGTGTACTCCTCGAATTCGATTTTCCTATCTTAGCGTTAGTAGTGGGCATTTTTAGTTAATGAATACTCCCTCCATCTTTAATCAACCGCCTATATTTTGATTGTACAGAAGTTGCCCATATCGCTAAGAACGATAGTATTTTTACAATGTATCAATAGTAACAATATGTAGTTGGTTGGAGATATTGGTTTCATATTTTTATTCATTATATACTTATACCTACATTGCAGTCTTTGCAGATGGTTTTGATCCAAGTTGTAGTAATTAGTTCACTCTCTGATGGGAACTATCATGACATAGTTGCTACTTGTCATCTATATCATCTTGCTAAAATTACCAAGTAGGTAGTGTTGTTTCTTTGAGGCTATACTTTAGGTTCACGACTTTTAGGGTTGCAATGTCACTCTCTTTGGTAATTATATTTTTGGGTTAATAATTAGAAAGAAAAACACCACGTATAGAAGGGAGCTGAGATAATTTCATCTGTCTCAAATAAAGTTCAGATTTCCCTTTAGTCAGTTCAAAAGCATCAGTACTTTTAAGTTACCTTATTGGAAGGGCTTGCAGGATGGAGATCATCATTCTTCTATCGTATGAACTTACGGCTAATAAAAGAAGATTACTCTATTTATACACCACTAACTTTCCTAGGGCTAGAAGTTGAGTGAATGCATAAGATGTTGCTTTTATGAACTCTTATCCCTACGATGCGTGAGAGTTGTATAAACTATAACCTGTCTTGTAAAGTTTTAATACGCTAAGTACTAGTTCTTATATCTTAAATTCTTGTGCTTTGTTCATCAGATATGGCTTGCACACAAACTCTAAAGGCAGCTGTAAGCAGGGCTCTTTCTATCTGTTTTACCTTTCAGCCTTTATGCTGCCTACTGCCAGACCAATTTCATCAGACAATGTTTCTGATAGACAAAGCAACAGATCAAATGTTGTGATACAGAAACATTGCCTTTACCTAATTATTTATTCTCAATATTATTTATTTGATACTTGATACAGAATACATGTACCCATTGTCCCATTTGATTCATGTGATATTATTTGCAGATTGCTGCATGATTTTAGATATCACCCCTATTAGTAGCCTTCATCAATTATCAACAACTAATATTTTCATTATGTTTGCTTGTAAGGCCACGCCACTTATTGAGAAGTGGAAGGTTGGTTAATATGCAGTATTTGATGAGGCTATGGACAATAGTGTTAATTGTGAAGATTGAGTGTGGTGTTTATTCTTGTAGCTCCTAAGTAATTCCATTCCATTTTGGACTCGGACGCGGGCTTTCATACCATCAACCGGGCTTTGCAATTCAGTATCTTCAAAACCATAATCATCCCATGAGTCCCCCAATTTCTCCTCTTCTTGCTTGTCAATGGGCTTAAGATGGTTCAAAGCATTCAAGAGATAGCAAGAATGCCAAGTCCAATTTCTCTATATTAAAAAAATCTTCTTCAGCGGCCCAAGCAAGATCATCTATTTCCAAATCAGAGAGGATAGTGTTCAATGGCTCTTAGGGATTTTCTGGTTTTGTTCTGAATACATATCACAGTTTTATAATTTTCTTAATTAAGAAACCTGGAGAAGAAGAGGGGGAGGGGGGGGGGGGTGTCCAGAAACAAAAGTATGGGAGGGATGTGCAAGGAACTTTGCCAAAAAAAAGGTATAATGAAGTAAAGCAAGGCGAAGAGTAGCTCATGCATTTTGCCTGGTGTCTTGTTTTATGTAATATTTTCAGCCTAATGGTTTAGAGATGTTCTTTTGATATGTTGTGTGTAAGATGGACAAAATGTTCTTTACGGAACAGAGACCTTTGTATTTGTGGACTGTGGTTTTAGATTTTCAAGTTCATGTTTGTTCAATTTTATGCATAATTGATAATTATTGTATCAATATTTCACATTTTGTGTGTTGTGGATTGCTAATCTGCTTATCTATATGTTGCAGGATGCTAATGCATCAGCTCAGAGAGCTGAAGCTGCTAGGAAGCGAGAAGAAGATATAAGAGCTGGGGTAGTGCAAATGAATGGCCGAGAGCTTTTCGTGAATGAACCTTGGGTGTTTGATAATAATCTTTACTGAATGTTTCTGTTATATTACCTTTCATATGTGTAATATTAGATTTTGTGAGATATTTATCTTATTCTTCCTGCTGGCAATTTAGTTTCAGGACATACTATATGGCATTCCAAGTGTAGAAAAATAATAAAATATATACTGCAATATTTAAACGTACTAGGCTAAATGTTTCTGAATGTGGCAAACCTCCAAGGAAGCAATATATCCCTTAATTTCCCAGTGCTGCCAAACAACAGACAATCGAGCGACAATCCGTTAGAATTTTGAGGTGGGAATAACCTCACTGCCTAGCATGTCGTAAAGCAAAAATACTTGTAGCTTAGGAGGAAGTAGTAATGGAGGTTTGATATGTGTCCGCAAATGCATAACATGGCATATTTGTAAATATAATGCAACTTTTTTGTAACGGGTTTAGAAATTGGAGGGAAATTCTGAATTGTATAGTAAAAAATTGTAATGGGGTGGGACCCATGCCATAATAAAAAAACAATTGAGGCTGAACCCCACTTCTACTTCTTTCTTCCAGCAGACCCACAATACTAAAAAGGGGACTCTTCTTCCTTAAAAAAAATTTGCTGAAAAGGTGACCACCTTTTTCTCTATTGCTGAACTCGAAAATCCTTGAAAACTCGAAAATTCTTGCATACTAAAAAATCCTTGCATTGATGTAGGAACCCTAAAAATTTACTGCTCTACGCAATGGAGTACCTTGAAACCACTGAGGATATCGAAAGGTACGCCGGCGGCGAGTATGGGTTGAGCATTTGCGAGCCCATTCCCGATGATGATTGCAGTGGCAAAGAAGACTGCGCAGCAGCGTTGGAGGCACTCTTGAATCAGGTGAGTGGTTAAAATGATGTGTTAAAGAGTGTTGGAATTAGATTTAGGGTTTGATAGAGGTATCGATTTGAAAATATGGAATACCATGGTAGTAGATAGAGTTAAATTGAGAATGACGCACCTTTATTGTTATGACTACGTTGAAGTTAATCTCTGTTTAGAACGTTGTTAAATGAAGCATCAATTGGTAGAAGCAACTTATTTTAATCTCTATTAATTGAAGCATTATTTGGTAGAAGCAACTAATTTCGTGGGAAAAAAAATTGGTAATGTGTGTGGATATTATGTTGGGTTTGTCGTTACAAGTGTGTAAAATTACGTTCTTACTCCATGCTCTGTTTATTTTTTATCAAACGTAATTGATCATTGTGTAAAATTATATTATAACAAGCTAACTTGAGGTGAATGTTATGTTTACATGAGGTTGTTGTTGGGGAAGAGTCCTTTTAGACTCCAACCAAAGGGAAGGGTAATGTCTCAATTAGTGTTCGGATTGAGGAGCTTGCTGAAGTGGAGCTGGATGTTGCTCTGCACCTCCTTCTATTGGAGTGGTGTTTGAGTCGATGTTAGAAGTTGATGAGTATTTTAGGAATTATGGGCAGCAGAGGGAGTTTGGTGTTGTGCGTGCAAGTGGTGCCAATAATGGAAAAGGTGCGAAGAGGAATTGTAGGTGGACGTGTGAATGTTATGGTAGGCTTGTTCGGAAGAGGAAAAAGAGTGAAGTGGGTTTAGTCTCAGATGCTCAAATTAGTGAAGATGAAAATATGTGTCCTAAGCGTAAGTCGAAAAAATGTGAATGCCCTGTGTTTATATATGCAAATGTGAATGATGTAGGGCAATGGGTGATTCGTAAGACAAAAATGTAACATGATGGCCATACTCCTACTCCCAGCAAATCGAAGAATATAAGTAAATTCAGGAAGAAATTTTTGGTGGAAAATTCATATTGTGAGGCAGCTTTTTAATGACCGAAGGGTAGGGGTGCCTGTTTTGAGCATCTATAGGTCTATGTCGCGGCAGAGGAATGGGTTGGAAGAGATGCAGTTTGAGAAAAATGATTTACATCACGAAGTGGCAAAGCAAAGGAAAAGGGTGTTTGATGATGGAGATGCAAAAGCCATGTTCGCTTACTCTAAGAGAATGGTGGATGACAATTCCAAATTCTTTCATACCTATCGAGTTGATGAAGAAGGTAGGCTGAACTTGCTGAAGGATGTTTTGTGGATAGATGCAAGGAGTAGGGCGGCTTAGGAAGAGTTTGGGGATGTTGTTGTATTTGATTCTACCTACTTGACCAATGAATACAAACTTCTATTTTGCAACTTTGTAGGTGTCAACCATCATGGCCAAACCATTTTTATTTGGATGTGTGCTAGTAACTCATGAGAATGCTGAGACTTTCGAATGGGTGTTCTCAAATTGGCTTCGATGCATGGGCGAGAAGGCACCTGTTGGGATCCTAACGGACCAGTACGACGCAATGAGGAAAGCTCTAAAGGTTGTTAAGTAAGGAACAATACACAGATGGTGTATTTGGCACATCATTAACAAGTTTGGAAAAAAAGCTAGGCAAGCATGTTAATTACCCAGATCTGAAGGAGGCGCTGGAGCAGGCAATTTATGATAGCCTGGATCGTCAAGAATTCGAAGAACGTTGGCCCGAGGTTATAAGGAATTTGAAGCTGAAGATGAAGAATGGCTGGCAGGTTAATTTTTTTCCAATTTTTTTTCCAAATTGTCAATCTGCTCTGGTCATTTTATTTTATTTCCTGTATGCTGTGGCTGCATTTGTATCATGATATGCTGTTATGCAAATGGTTCAATGTTATGTGGGTTGATTTATTACTGTGGTTTAAACTTGGGGGATGCTTACATCCTGTACTTGAGTGGTGCTGTTTGATAACACAATATTATACACGATTTATATGCGATATTTGGCCATGTTTTATTGTGTTTTCTTCGTTCTCCTAATCATTTTGAGGTATTATTCTTCCTATTTCGATATTGCTCTTCTCGGTTTGTTTGTTTTTGTTTTTGTAGGAATAGGGCTCGCGATTTGCTTGGAAATTGTTTTGATCGCGAGATATTTCTTTATACGGAGCGTTTCTAGCATCCTAAAACACCCTAGCAGCCCCCTCCACAACCTGGTTGTGGCGTGTTACCTGTTGGCCACAACCTGGTTGTGGGCGTCTATCATCGGAGCAAGGGAGAAGTGAAGGCAACCCCCTCCACAACCTGGTTGTGGCGATTTCTTCCGTGCCACAACCTACCTGTGGCAGCTCGTTTTGGTGGCGTTTGAGAGTCCTATTAGGATAGAAATACCTAGTTTTATGCTAGGATTTAAATAGGTTTTTAGATAATCTTTTATCTATCACTTTTACATACATTAATTTAGAGTTTTTGGTATTACGTTCTTCCACATTATTTTCCTAGGGTTTTTCTTTCAAGATTCAAGATTTCATAATTTATTCCAAGTATTGATTTCTTCTCTCAATTCTCTTATTTTATTATTGTTAATTATGTTTTCTTTATTGAATATCATTCTTGAATTCATGACTATGTGTGAGTAATTTCTCTATTCCAAGACCTAGCGGAACCCGAATATGGTTAATGCATGATTTAATTCTTTAATTTCTCTAATGATAATTGCAATTGATATGCTTAATTGATTGTGCTCATGCCAATACTAGATTAGGGATAATTAGTATTGTTATTAATCCATTGTTTTAATCGCAATGGAAGTTGGGTTTTAACGGGTTTGAATAAATCAATTAAGGATTTGAAGTTCATCATGGGAGTAGTTGAATGGAAGATTAGGAAGTTAGAGTAATGTGCTCAAAGTCTTTAATTTACATGATTCCACGGAAGTAGGCTTGATTTTGATTAGGGAAGCCATTGATAACTCGGGAGAGACCATTGGTACCATTTAGGGATTGCTTTTCCTCGTTAATCGATTGAATTATATGTTAGGGGTAGAGCGACTGTTGCATTAATTGTAATCGTGGTGATGCTTGATCTTGGATGTTTTTAGCATTTGATTTATTATATTACTAGATTTAATCGCTTTATTTAGCTCTTTAGTTATTAGTTCTCACTATTATATTTATTACTTGCTTAGTATTTATTTGAGTCTGTTTAATTAGTCAAACCACAGTCTCTTGGGATTCGATCCTTACTTGCCTATCTACATAGTAGTAGTCTTGTTAGGTTAATTTTGTTAGGTGTGCGACCGACTATCACCGTTATTAATGACCCATACATCTTTGTCTTTGTAGTACTGAAACGGGTGTTCTGATAATGGGAAGTTCACTGGTAAGGGGTTAAGGGTAATGGGTAGTTCACCGAGTATGTTATTTATAACCCATACATCTTTGTGTAGCTGCACTGTGGGTTCTGGTAAAGGGTGGTTCCATTTCAGATTTGAATTTTCATTAAACATAGTGAATTCAATAATTTGAATTACTGTATTGGTTCTGTTGTTGGAATCACTTGTCAGGATTGTTTGCAGAACGAGCAATGTGGGCTCCAGCATTTGTAAAGCATTTGTCTTGGGCCGACATGAAAACCACCCAAAGAGTAGAGAGTATTCACTGTTTCTTTGACGGGTATTTAAGCAAACACACGTTGCTTTATGAATTTGTGGAGCGTTACGAAGAGGCACTTGAGGTTAGAGCAACTACTGAAAAAAGGCTGATGATAACAATGCGAGATATGTAAGGAAGACGTATAGTGACTTCCTCGCTGAGCTTATATTCCAAAAGATCTATACCAATGCAAAATTCAAAGAAGTCTAGCGAGAATGCAGCCGTCTGCTTTATGTTAGCGGAATAGAGAAAGTGCAGGTTTTCGAGAACATCACTGAACATGTGGTTGAGGATAGAGTTTGGTACAAGCCCAAGAACGGTTCGATGGAGAAACCGTCTAAGCGGAAGCGTGGATACAAGGTTACGTATGATTTTGTTTCTAAGGAAGTTTGGTGCGAATGTAAGCACTTTGAGTACCACGGTATTATATGTCGTCACATCATCAAGGTGTACGAGTTGAATGATCAGATCAAGATTCTGACAAATTCTTCCTTAGGCGTTAGAGGAAAGATGTGATAAGGAAGCACACTAGGGTGAAGGTTGCATATCATGATTTAAGCAAGACCGAAGAGGTTTGCAGGTTTGATAAAATGATGGTGAAGTTTGGTTCCCTTTGTCCGAAGTCATCTGTTTCCAAAGACACCACTGATCTTGTCATGCAAACGCTCCAGTTACTAGAGATTCAGGTGGATGAAAAGATTCAATGATGAAGATTTCTGACGGAGAAGGAGAAGGAGAAGGAAAAGGTGATAAGGGAACTCCTGTTACCCCTTCCACACAAAGGCAAGGGAGCTTCTCTGAGGTACCGAAGGATCCCCCTATGCCAAAGAGGCCTGCACATAGAATAACTGATGTGAGATTCCCTTCATGTGTTAAAAAATCAAAAAAGGGTAGTAAGACAAACAACAACCGCAAAGCACCAAAGAAAACCTCAAAAGTGCAACCTGCACAATTTCTTACAACTTCAAATTCTTAGGTTTACTCTCTTGTATTTTTTCTTTGTTTACATGGAAAAGTGCAACCTGCATAATGTTCTAACTTCCCCTTGTTTGTTGTTTTGTTTCTTAACTGGTTGTGTTGCAGGTGCCTCCACCTCAGGGATTTGTCTTCCCTTACAGCCCTTATTTTATCGGAGGAATCCAAATGGTGGACAGTGATGGATCAATAGGGTATTTCACTAGTGTTTCAGGAGACTCCACCTGCCAAGTTGTCTGCGAGCGATGTACATTCCGTTTATCGGCCAGCCATGATCCCTTATGAATATCATCAATACAGGACATTGTACCCTTGTATGCAGGGGGGTCAGGGTCACATGGTTGCTTCATCTTACTCCCCGACAACCCCTAAGTCAGCTTCACCCCTTAGTGGTTCAGCCCCTACAAATTCAGACCAATTGCTCCCAAACCCATGTTTATACCAATTGCTCCACTAGTAGAAAAATACAAATGCGCACCGGTTCAAAACCCCCCATTCGCACCGGTTTTGAACCGGGGGAATACTTGTTATTGGCACCGGTTAACCGGTGCTAATAATAGGTACCCACTTTTACAAAAAATATAATTCATTACTTTTGGCACTGGTTAACGGTGCAAAAAATGCCCAAAAAAATAATTTTTTTTTTTCATGTGAATTTATCACCAGACTGTTATAGATATACATAATATACTTGAAACTGATAATTTTCCTTAATAACCTGTAATTTTACACTTGAAAAGAAAAGGAAAAAAAAATATATAGCAGCAGCCCAGTAGCAGAACAGCAGCAGCACTAAAGAGAATGAATCGTCCATATTAGGACATAGAGCAACCTGAATGCAGCCTGAATTTTGTTATTTCATGCACTAATTTGATTACAGATCCATATGTAACCTGTCAAATTTTACAAAAAAATCCCACAATACTAACCAATCTTTTCATAACAATAAATAAATCAACAACAAAAATAACACAAACCCAAATCAAAAGAGTAAACCCAAATCACAAAATAAAAACAATTATCAACTAAAAATCGCAGATGAAAACATTCTATAGAGTCTAAAACAACAACACAAACAAACAGCAAAATACCCTCTCAATACACAGACTCAAAACATATTAATAAGTCATTGGCAAGCATTAAGAGAACCCCCTTTTCTACACTCAGTCAATATTCCATAGCTAGGGATAATAAATTATTCAAGAGCAGTCGTGAAAGCCATATCAACTTGCATTTTCGCATTAACAACTAGCAGAAAGCCAGAAAGATAGCATAGGACCACATAAGGCCATGCATACATTCAACACACATACATTTCAATGCAAATGTTAAAGGTAAATAAGGTATAGTCCTTAGATAAATTAGTCAGGCAAGGGATTAGTATGCATACAGAAAGCACAACTTCGATAGCCTGCCCAAAGACTCCGCAATGGCGGAATTGGACTGCTGAAACTATTCAAATAGAGATCCAAACTGACCAAATTTGTCAGATTGCCCAGCTCACTAGGTATTGGCCCCTTGATATTGTTACTACACAGTTCCCTAAGAATAAAAACATACTCTAATAAGTTCATATAATTTCATAACCAAAGAAAAAAAAAAAAAAAGCAAAGGATCAAGTACATGATAAAGGTTGCATTCTAATGAACCAGAAAACAATTAAATTTGTACTTGATCCATATTATAAGCTCAAAAGAAATAATTATTTGGTTGATTTCCCATCAAACCAGGTTCAAGGATGACTCAATGTATGCAACTATATCCTTCAAAACGAGAGAGAGAGAGAGAGAGAGAGAGAGAGAGAGAGAGAGAGAGAGAGAGAGAGAGAGAGAGAGAGAGAGAGAGAGAGAGAGATACAGAGTACAAACAGCCAGCTATCAGTTTATCACTCCTCTAATGAAACTAGGGTGCACAAAACATTTTTTATTTATGGCAGTAAAATACAGAAGCAGACCTTCATTCCCTTTTCAACAATTATGTAAGTTTCAGAGGTTGAGAACGACTCAATAGAGATAACACCATCAGCCCAATCTTGTCAATGGCTTCATCAAGAATACTCCCAAACAAAGTCATCATTTCCAGAAGACATTAAAGCCATAGTTGCAGGCAACAAGTATAAATTAATATACAAACATAGGCTTAAAGCCACACCTGTCCCCAATCTCGGTAGAGAAAAAGCAGCAGCTACAGCAGAGAAAAAGTAGCAGCAGCAGGGGTGCACTGCAGGGAAGCAGGGCAACAGGTTCAAGCTTCAAGTCATTCGATAAACGCAAAAACACAACTCAGAAAATCAATCCAAAACCCAATTTTAATTCCTGAGCTATACTTGTCAAGAAACTTAACAATTATGGTACGATAAGGCAATATAAGAAGACAAACTAGAAACAAAATATAATGAAATAATCCACCATTATCCACTACCAAATGAGATTCAATTTGCATATTTAATCAAAAGAAACCCAAAACTGATTAAAATATACCCATACCACAATCAAGAAATCAATCAAAATATACCTGAAAAAATATATACCTAAAAAATCAAATTAAATGACAACCAAAACAATATTCACAATACATCCACAATCAAACTACTGAAATTCAAGATTCAAGTATCAAATACTCTGTATACTCACAAGTCAAATACTCCGTGTACCCATAATTCAAATATTCCGTATATTCACAATTCCAAAAGCTCAAATTAACAAAATCCTAGATCAATCGCAATTATTGAAACAAATTAACAAAACCCTAGATCAATCGTAATTATACTGAGTTGCGTAATCTGATTTTAAACCCCAAAACTACTATATCAATCAATTCAATCATCATCTATGCAATTTGACAAATTTCACGTTCAATCAAATACTTCGGTTCAATTCTTCCAAATCCCAAAACTTAATAATTCAATAATGGGAAATTCTCAACGGTAACCCCCAACTTTTGCTACGCACCAACGGTAACCCCCCCTTTTTTTGGATTATACAAGATGACCCTAATTAAGAAATTTATCTCACATATGACATTAATGAGTGTTATTTATTTAAAAAAAAAACTAACTATGGTTAACTAAGGTTAAATTATTTTAAAAAAATAAAATAAAATCAATTTCAAAAAAAGTTAAATTATTTTTTAAAGAAAAAAATAAATAAAATAAATAATTATTTAAACCACCACCAGCCTAAACCTTCCCCGCCGCCCCTGACACCCCTGCCCCGTGCCTCCGGTCACCAGGATCCCCAGCAGCGCCGACGGCTCGCCTGAACCCCCTCCTATGAAGCACCAAACCGCCTCCCTCACCAAACTAGGCAACATCACCCTCAAAAACCCCAGGTTCCGACCGTCGTACCCCTCCCCTTGAACGTGCCGACCGCCGTATCCCTCCCCTTGAACCACCAAACACCTTCGAACCTTTCCCCGTCCCGATCCTGACCTCCTTCCCCCGCCAAGTTTTCGGCCCTCTCCTCTTCCCTTGTCCCTTTTCCAGCCCATAAAATCATCTCACCACCCTCGAAAACCCCATCTTCGTCACGATTTCGGCCTTTGTCGCTCTCCCTAGCCACGAGCTCCGATTCGATCTGCTGCAATTCGACGACCAAGGGCGGCTGTGGGCAGCAAGGAGGTGTTTGGGGGGAGGGCGACAAGGAGGTGGTTGGGGGGAGGGCGGCAAAGAGGTGGTTGGGGAGTGGGCCGGCCGGAACGGTGGAAAATGAGGAGAAGGAGGAGAGGTTGGCTGGAATCAATGGGGATTAGGGGTTGGGATTAACTTTTTAATTTTCTTTTTTTAAAAAAATATAAATATAACCATAGTTAATATTTAAGGAAATAAGGTTATGAGTGGGATGAAATTGTTAACTAAGGTCATTTAGTATAATCCAAAAAAAGGGGGTTACCATTGAGAATTTCCCTTCAATAATTATTGAAATTATATCAAATTTGCATAAAAAATAACAGCAATTTCGTAAGAAAAAACGTACCAAACCAATGACGATCAGGTTGAATACGAGAATCACGCAAATCACAAGATTGAAATTGCTGGCTCATAATCCAATATCCACCACAGTCAAATTTCAATATCCAAATCAGAAATTTTCCACAACACAACACTTTCAAGTCTTACATAACATCAACCCTAAGCAAATTAAAATTTAAGTTAAAACCCTCCAAAAAAACACCTATTTTATCCAATCAATAAACAATGGAAAAAAACAGCAAATCCAGAAATTAAACAATTAAATCAAGAGTAAATAGAAAAAAAGGGATACAAGGATGAGATCGAAGAGTATCCTGGTCAACTTTGACAAAATTAGCTCCATGGACATCCCAAACTCAACTGCATGTTGAATACGAGAATCAAATACAATAAAAAAAATTAACCATCAAATATTGAAAAATTAATTGAAATCAAAACCCTAAATAACTTGAATTAGGGAATTGAAAAACGATTCTTGAATATAATCAGCAATTCTAGAAGTAATTCGACAAAAATATAACACAAAGCTAAATAAATTAGAAACCCTAACCTCAAATATCTGAATTTTTATTCGAAATTTATTTGTATTTGTTGTTGTTAAAGAAGCACGAACATCCAATTGATGCGAAAAACGCACCTACAAACCCTAACCTCCATTATTGTTGATTTAAGAAATAGGCGGCGGCGACGACGATGGTTGTATTTGGTTCGAATTGACGCTGATTTTCGAAGAAGGAGAACGAGAGTTGACAGAGAGAAGAAATGGAGAGATAAAGTGGGCTGGCGATGAAAGGGGTGGTGGTGGAAGCTAAGGAGTGGTGGTGGGGAAGCTAAGGAGTGGCGGTGAAGTGATAGAAGAGAGAAAGGGGGAACGAGAGGAGAGAGAAAGGAGAATGACTGAGTGAGTGCGTGGTTATTAAATTGGGAAATAATGCGTGTTTTAGAAATGTATAAAAATAAAGGGGCACCGGTTAATCGATGCTCTTGTATTTGAATTGTAGAAAAAGAAAAAAAATCAAGGGGCATCGGTTAACCGGTGCTTTATGTATTTTGGGCCACTGGTTTCCAAGAATCGGTGCTCATTCTTCGGTACACATTTATGTTTTTCTACTAGTGTTCCTTACCTTGTACCTCCAAAACATCACAGTCATGCACACCAAATGCTTATGGCCCCAAATATTGATCTTAACCAAGTGTCTACTATTCCTATACAACACCCTAATGCTCCTAATTATTAACTTCCTAGTGGTCCTAACCAACAACCTATTGCTCCTAACCCACACCCTAGTGGTCTTAACCAACAGCATAATGCTCCTAACCCAATGTCACATGCACCTAACCCAACAGCAAACTGTCTGTAACCAGACACGCAAGACGCCATGCAACATAAGTATATCAAGTCACTTGGGTGTAAGACGCACATTTTGTAATAAAAAAAACTGTGGTGTAATTTTTTGTTAGGGAGATGAAATTTTTGTATCAAACCTCAATTTCAGCTATCCAGGTGTAATATTCTACTTTATAAGGGTTCCAAGTTTTTTGGGCTACTGCTTGCTATTATCCCAAGTCAATATTTCTAATCCGACCTTTTTTTTAATCCAGTGAAACATTTAACTTATTTAGTTTAAATAATCTGCTACCATTTACATAGTAAACCATGAAGGGGATCTTTAAATTTAACATCATTACATAGAATAGTAAACATTTATTCCATTAATGGTACCAAATTTACGTACTAAATTTAAATTGGCCCCAAAAATTTGTCATCCTACAGAACTACTACATTAATGAGTTGATGTAAATCTGAATTTTATTAGTAACACTCAGGCAATGAAGGGTACCACTGGAGTTCAAAAATGGTATACTAAATTTTGATAGGTATACATGTTAACTCCTACCAACTAGGGTTACATGCACATTGTTTAGGGTATGATACGATATTGTGTAAGGGACAACCTCTGTGGTTTAATTGGTCTTTGGACAACGCTTTTTTTGGATAACATAACCTGTTATTCTTATAACCCGTCGTCTTAAGGAATAAATACATTGTATTTAAGTCCCACTTCCTATTTCAGTATATACGCAAATCATTTCATATGTAATCCATGATCACCTAATTAGCATTCCCACGTTCCATTTAATTAAAGTTAAATTCCGAATAAAGTGTACATATCACCTTTTTTGCATGATTAATAAATGATGGAGAGGTTTATGGTTAACTATAGTGTCATTCTTTAGTGTTTGCCTGATATTTGTTTACAAGGTTCACATACATGTACTTTAACTGAGTTTGAAATATGTACAACTGAAATTTAAAAAAAATTCACTACTAAACATGGTTCAAGAGGTTCAACTGTATAATAAAAGGGTTTTGTTTAAATTCTCTAGGGTACTACTATAAAACATATTTCAATGTTCAACTGTATACTAAAAGGGTTTTGTTAAAGGTCTCTAAGGTACAACGGAAAAACATGGTTCGATGTTCAACTGTATACTAAAAGGATTTAGTTAAAGGTCTCTAGGGTACTACAATACTAGGCTGTGTAGAGTTTAGGGTACTACTAATTGATTATTTCATACATAACCCATGATCACCTGATTATCATTCCAATGTGGCAGTTAATTTAAATTAAAATCTGTATCAAGTCTACGATTCAACTGCATCACTTAAGTATTTCACTAGAAGTGTCAAGGGTACAAGAAGAGACAATGATTTATGTATATTAACAATGGGTCTTTTATCATGTCACTCAATCATAACCTCAATTCATACATATATGTTGTTTAGGCTGTAGGGTAAATTCATGTGTAATGATAATTAGGGGTTGGTTAAGTAATAAATTAATAGTACTTTAGTCCCACTTCTTGTTTGAGTATACATGCAAATCATTTCATACATAATCCATTTAATTTAATTTACAACCCGATTAAAGTGTACAGATCACCTTTTTTGCATGATTAATAAATGACGGAGAGCTTCATGGTTAACTAGTGTCATTCTTTTGTGTTTGCCCAATATTTGTTTAAAAGGTTGACATACATGTACTTTGACTGAGTTTGAAATATGTACAACTGGAATTTAAAAAAAATTCACTACAAAACATGGTTCAAGAGGTTCAACTCCATCATAAAAGGGTTTCGTTTAAGGTATCTAGGGTACTACTATAAAACATGTTTCAATGTTCAACTGTATACTAAAAGGGTTTCGCTAAAGGTCTCTAGGGTACAACTGTAAAACATGGGTTCGATGTTCAACTGTATACTAAAAGGGTTTCGTTAAAGGTCTCTAGGGTGGTACTAGGCTGTGTAGGGTTTAGGGTACTACTAATTGATTATTTGATACACAATCCATGATGACCTATTTATCATTCCCATGTGCATAGTAATTCAATTTAAAATCCGTATTCCTACATATATGTTGTTTGGTAAAGCTTATATCGTTTTAGAATTGATGGGTTAACTTTTTTATGTGGTGGATAAGACAAAACATTTATTCTTTTATAGGGTAATGCCCATTGTTTTACCTTTAATGTATATTAAGTTAGGGGTTTCCTTATGCAATATGGTGTAACCCCTTAAACAAATAGTAGTCAACATAGTCAACTGGATAATAACCGAATTATATATTGCCCTCATCTATAAAGAATAGTAACATAACACTTAGTGATTTCAAATGTAATTGTTTGTTCTAAAACTATTTATATTCAATGGTACCTTTTAAGTTCTAGTGAAAGTAAAATGGGTTCCACTTTGGTTACAAAAGCGCCTTTGACAGTTTATATTCCACAACTCAAACAATTTATATTCCAGTGGTTCAATTTTAAGTTCCAGTGATAGTAAAACGGGTCCACTTTGGTTATAAAAGTTCCTATTACAGTTTATATTCAACAACTCCAAATATGACAGAATTAAAATATTAAACTGTAGAGTACCATTGGGATACATGGGAATATTATTAAGGTATAAGTTTCACACGCTGGGGTACAATTATGTATCCGTGAGACTGATGAAAGGAGTGGTGTCCTTCGAACAAGTGTATTATTCCGATAGAGGGTTTGGAATTATTAGAAAGCTAAATTATTTAGTAAGGTCAAGTGATCGGAATGCCTAGCTGGAGGCCGCTTCCGATCATTAATATTAATGCATATTTAATATTATAGCTTAATCTTGACTGAACCCTTCAGGTCACACCCAATTGAGTAATCGAACTGAAACGACAATTTAATTCGAAGAATTAAACGAGTCATTAGAGTATTAGAAACATAGACGTCGGATTTCGAGCTTAGAGCGTTGGAACTGAGCATCATAAGTCGAGTCGAATCTAGGAATCAATGAGATGAGAAATCAAGCAAACAACAAGTTACAAATATAACCCTAGCCTCGGAATGCCCCGAGCAATCTGAGGGCCAAGGGCAATATGGCTAGCATGGCTAGCCAAGGGCCACTGCCGCAATGCAATGTTCAGCCACAAGCTCAGCATGCTTAGCATGGCCGAGCATGCTGGCCGAGCATGCCTTGCGCGCATCGCAACACCAGCATGGCTGGCCGCATATGCTAGGCGAGCTAGCAGCACCAGTCGCACCATCGCAAGGCTAGCAGCACGCGAGTGCTCGGTGGGCCTCGCACATGGTCGCAGCGAGTATGCGAGCAAGCTAGCAATAACAGTGCATGCATGCTAGTAGCGCTGTCTAGCTGGCTGGTGCGGCATGCCTAGCATTGCTGGTGGGATAGGCGTGCTAGCATGCTAGTGCCTCGCACACAGCAGCCCGTAAGTAAGCAACAGCTAGCTGGGCGTAGCCTAGCACAAGCATTGCTGCAACTAGGCGCTGCCTAGCACAAGCAACGCAACAGCAGCAATAGCCCGCATTGCGTGTGTGGCCTGTTGGCTGTGCATGCGTGTATGCGGGCTGGCTGGCAGGCCCAGCCATGGCGCTAAGCACCAGCAATGCTGCCTTGGCTGCCAAGGCAAGTCGCTAGCTAGCACATGCTTGTTTGCTTGGTTTGTTGAGAGCTTGCTTGGGGAGCAAGGGGTGAATGGTCCCCCCTTGTGGTCCTTACCTAACCCCTTGCTCTCCACTTGACACTTGTTGTTTGTTGATTTATTTGCATTTTAAATTGATTTTAGAATTAAATTAAATTGAGTAAATGCCTTTTTACCAACTCTCCCACATTAATGGGAGATTGGAATTCAAAGGCTCCTTTCCCTATAAATACCAATCATTTGGCATTGGGAAAGGGCACTTGAGTTGTGAACTTGAAAGGATCTCCACAAGCGAGAACACTTTCGTTCTAATAATCTTAAGTACTTTTGGTCTAGCCCCGACTAAGCTTCGGGGTAAGGGCCGTTTGGGTCGGGTCTCGAGGGTGATAGCGGTTGGAGGCTTGCGCATTTGCGAAGCTCTACGCTTTCAAGTACGAGCTCTAAAAGGAGCGAAGCATGCATCAAGGGTATGATTGTCTTTCTCTCTCTCTTTATTAATTGATAATGTGATTGTTAATTAATATGCTTGTTTAGTTACTTTAATTTGTGTGCGGATTTTGGGAGGGTTTCATTCCGCGTAGTGTTGGACACTACGAAACCCAACAGCGGTATCGGAGTCGCGCTCATTTAATTATTCTAACTAATAATTAATTAAGGTGATTTAAATGGATTTAAATTTCTGGTTTTGCTTTCTAATTAGATTAGAAGCTCGTTTTAATTAGTTTTAATCTCGTTTTAATGCTAATTTTGGCTAAAGAACCCAGATTTCGACCCAAAAGTAGTGAATTTTGGGTTGAAACGATGTTCTTAATCAGTGTTGTCCCTCTTTGAAAGTTTTCCAGGAGCCAAAATCCACCTAGAAACATGTTTTTCGATGGGTTTTTTCGTTTTTAACGAAATTTTTTCAATCTTTAAACCTTGATTAATTATGGCATGTTATTGTTAGGTTACATCATTAATCTACTGCAATAATAACCCTTATTAAGCATGTTATGAAGTCATATTTGGTGCTTAATTTGGTGAGTTCATTTTTCACATAAACTTGCAATTTCACATTTTTGCAAATTAATTGCTTCCAGTGTGAATGTTTATGGTGAATTTGTATTTTTGAAGCTCCTAAGTGTTAAAGATCCAATCTTTAATTGTTTATTTAGTTGGA